CCCCTCCCGGGAAGAGGCTGTGGCCCGGGGTGGGGCCAGGTGGGACCTCGAAGCATCCCTCAGCCATTGACAGTCGTATTTACAGAGCTCCAAGTAGGATGTAATTGCTTCTATTAATCTTTCTCCGGTTGTTAATTGCTCACTTATCGGGTTGTGTATTATGCCGACTGTTGCTCTTAATTCGCCTCTATAGCTGCAGGTGCTCACTGCCTTATTAACTGTTAATCGGCGCCACTAGGGATGGAGACTTAATTGGCCCCCAGAGTGGGACACAAGCAGGCCAGCCCGGGCACTGCCAGGCTCTTAGCCTGTCCCTGGAACTCTTACCTATGGAGCATAGGTTGCTACCAGAGAAGGAGTTGACCCATCGCAATCCACTGGCAGATAGTAGTCCAGCACACAGCAGTAACAGTGACAGCTGCAAGGTATGACCCCCTCCTCCAGGAAGCCAACCAACCAATTAGAATCCAGCTCCTACACTCCCTCTCATCACCAACCCAGAATGGGAGCCAACCTCATTATTTTAATTATCTGAACCTAACTGAGAACTAAGAGACTAACACTTCTTCTGCCTTCCCTCTGATCCAGGCAGTCAAAGCTGTTAAGATATCAGAGACACTGGGAGAAAGGAGGGCAAGGTGAAGGAGCTTCTGCCAGAGCAGGAAGGTGAAGTTAGATACAGGAAGGACTTCCCAGTTTTTGAAGAGGCCATCTGGAACAATCAGAGTCCAAATAAGAATAAAAACTTCCAGGAGGAGATCTGCTGCTCCATCCTAGCCCCCCTCGAGGGGCCCCTCTCAGCCTCTGCTTTCACAGCCCCAGCCTCCCTGTGGCACTGCTCCACAGCTGCAGCAGTGAGAGAGTCTCCCTACAGAGTGGACTTCTGCCTTCTCCGGCCCAAGTCACAGCAGAGGAGTCCCAATTGTCCACAATGGGACACTGAGGCCCAGAAAAGGCAAGGGAGTGACTCCAGGCTCCCCAATCCTCTCTGGCAAGGGCTCAGATATGTGGGTCTCCAAGCAAAGTTTCTGCCTCCAGCCTCCCCCTAGACCCTGCTCCATCCCAGACATCTCAGACCTGGAGGGGACTTTCTCGGTCACCACCTTGTTAACTCTGGTCTTTAAGCCTCTCAACCTCAGCTGCCACTGCTGCAGCTGCCTCAAGCTCCAGCGCCTTTGAGACAGCAATGCAAGGTTTCTGGAAACAGCTGGCCCCTGAGAGAGACAAGTGTGTTAAGTGGGTGCATGCGTGGTGGTGGTGGTGATGGGGTGGGGGTGGGAG